TAGTACGACTACTTACTGTAGTAATAGATACACACATACAGAGAGAGAGAGAGAGAGAGAGGTTCGTTCTTACGGTAGACGTACTGAATTAGTATTGTCTCTCTCTCTCTCTCTCTCTCTCTCTCTCTCTCTCTGAGTTGTTGACAGAAAAAATGCAACAAAGTATTCCATTTGAACTGCAATCACAGAGTCGAAATTCAGACATAATGTTGCAATGGTCAACACCATAAACAATGAAGCCCAAAACCCAAATCCTAATAGCAATCAGACTCAAAGGTCTCCTGAGAATATAATTTGTGAAAGTACGAATGAGAAAATATGGAATATGGAGAGAAACTCCACCACCAACTTACCGCATACAGTAGAACCTGCCCATCATCCATAGTTTTGAAGGACATCGACTTCTCTCTATGCTGCATATTAGATGGAATTCCAAACATTAAAAAAGTGAGCTTGGCTCTAAGAAGAGTGAGGATACATTAGCTAGCACACAGTTGCTTACCACAACAGACACAATACCAGGAAATAGGCCAGAACAAATGATTGAGCGAACCAATGATTGATCATGGCTCAATTGATTACACGTGCTCAAGTCTCCTTCTAATAAGCCAGCATCTTTGAGAATGTGGTTGAATTGCTTTCGAAGAGAATGGATAGCCTGGAATGTTTGAGCTGAGAGAAAATTCCTCCAGCAATATTCATAAGCCGAGCCTTCTCTCTCTGCGTCTTTCCACCCCTCATATGCACGGACAAGGGCCATATGGTCACTGTAGTCCTTTGCCGAGAATCTCGATTTTGCAGTCCCTGCTAGCTGTAACAGGAAACCCAGGGCCAAAAAGCTGGTGAATTTCCGTGATGCAAAATGCAAATTTCCAAGCTTTTCTAACAGCACCATTTTTAATTTATTGACAACATTTTCTGGGCTAAATTTCATATTTTAAAAGAGTATCTACTCACTGTGATTCAACTTTCAAGAAGAGCATTTACTAACTGTGGTTTAAATTGGGCCAAATTTCAGGTTATAGTGGGCAACATAATTTTGTTTGTTATTGTTATTTCAATTTTTTAAAACAGCAGAAACCAAATGTCTGAAGCAAACCATTCTTCAAAATTTTACTCCTCAATAGTCAATAATACGCTTCTGAAAAGGAAAATCACGAGGTGAACCCACCCAAAATGTATATGACCGAGTTGAAGCCAACTAAATAGCAGTTACAAATTTATAAAGTAAAATCTAGGAAGTTCAAATTCGATGAGGCCAGTTAAATAGCAATTACAAAAACAAGATCTGAAAGTCGCTAATTCCATTAAGTTATTATGACAAAAGACCATACATCTTTCTTGTCCTGAGGTAGCAGAAATGGATCCCTAACACTCAAACCAGAAACCACCGTGAGAATGGGATCGAGGCATCGAAATACAGCACCCATGACGAGCATCTTCCCAAGTTTTGGATCAACTGGAAGCATTGATAAATATCTCCCTGGACGGTTCAACAGCTCAGTTGGATACTTATGTTTAATTACACAGAAAACAGTTTGCCATCAGAATTTCAGTGATATCGAATGAAAATATATAGACTCACCAAGATTTGTTAGGTTCTCCTTCTCATCTAATGCACCAATTACTTTCAGAAATTCAACAGCATTTTGGACCTGCAAGGCATTCATAGAGTGGTATCACTTGACTGAGTATATGAAATGCTCATTTGTCTTAGTTTCTTACTTTTGATAGGTACACAAAAGGTAGCATATGTTTAGGAAAATCTCGAAGGCTTGAATGCAACCATCGAATTAACACTAAACCAGGGACCGAAAATTTTGTATGAACACGGAAAAACTCAGTCAACTCAACTTACCCACTTATGTTGTTTTTCAATAAACAAATCGCTTCTTCACTATGTATATTATTTTGATGTTGTTTTACTACACATGGCATTTACCAAGTGGTAGGTACTACCTATTACCAAAAATAAAACACGCAGAACACGCCCCAACCAGGAATTAAACATGCAATCTCATGGAAAAGTGCCACCAGTACTATCAAAGTACTCTTTAAGGGTTTTAGTAAAAGGATCTACTAATATAAAATATATACAATAGAAAATGACAATATCGGTCTTGGGCAATGGTTTTGGCAGAACTCAAGTAGGCCACAGAGTTCAAATTTTTCACCACAGCTCCAAACAAAGAGCCATGAGGTAAACACAAGAAAGTTTGTTGAAAGTATTCCTGGCTATATGTTTGAACATGGAAACAAAGCAACAAATCTCATGTTTTAAATTTTTTGGAGAGAAATTCTCAAGAGATTAAAACAATATATGGAAAATTGTAATCATAAATTCAAACGATAGGAATAGAGGTTTCCGAAAGTGTCAAAATATCTTGCCAAAATGCTACTGCAACTCAATTCACCATACGAAAGAGGACAGCACTATAACACAATGACTTGGATTAGAACAAGGTGCTTCGCTTATTTCGGAGTTAAAGATCACTTACAGCAAGAGGTTCAGGAGGCTGGAGAGCAGCTGACAAAAACTCCCCTATGGTCCCAAGTAGCAAACTTTTTATTTGCAAGCAAAGAGAATTCAAAGGAGTTCTGAGAAGTTCTGGAAGCTGATATTCCGCAAAAGCATCATATACACATCTTGGGTATAGATGGTAGCACTCTCCTGGCTGAACACGCCCAGCTCTACCCCTTCTCTGCAAGAAAATGGCAGTTTGAAGTAAAACAAAGTTAATTCATTTTTTTTTTGAGAAAGTAAGGTAATTCATATATTATAGGACTGCAAATGGTTTGTTTACTGCTAAAAGTCGTATATTCATCCAATACATCTGGAAAAGTCAAGAATCTCTTAAATACGTTTATGTTTTATCCCATTGCAAGGGAGAGGAGATGGAAAGCAACCAACAATGGCAGAGGTTGAAGTTATCAAGGTCTAAAAAAATATAGAAAAATTCAAACATAGCATTTGCTAAGAGTTGGCAAACTATATCTCTATTAAATCAAATGGAATTTTTTAATGTTTCTAGAGTCCGATATGAGTTCTAAAGATGACAATGAACAACAGAAAAATTATAAGGACCAATTATAAAGTTTTATGAAGAAGAGATGAATTTGATATAACCATGTTATCACTTATGCACTGGTAAAAACCCCTTTTTTATGCATCAACATGCAATGACTATATCAGGATACCAGTTTCTATTTCTTTCAACTAAGAGACCATGCAAAACTATACATTCAAATTTCAGTTCACGATAACGAGAAAGTAAGCCAAAGGAGGATACAAGATATCTTACCTGTCTAGCCGATGCCCGTGATATCCAAGAGGGTAAGAGACATGGAGTATTGTTTAAAGCATCATAAGTAGTCTCCTTTGCTTTTCCACAATCAACAACGAAAACAATATCATTGACTGTTATGCTTGCCTCTGCCATATTTGTAGCAAGAACAATTTTACGTATATTTGGTGAAGCCCTTTCAAAGATGAGTTTCTGCACAAATAAATCCCAGATATAGAAAAATTAAAAAAAACCATGAATAGAGAAGAAGAAGAAGAAGATAAGAAGACCCCATGGGATATCTTGTTGATTAAGTTCATAGTTCACTTAAATTTAATTGAATTCGAAATTGAATCACTACACTTCAAGTTAACTGTTTCTCAAAAAAAAACAATCACTACACTTCCAAGCAACATAGAAAACTTCCTACAGACTCCACATCCAAAAACTTCTAAAGATATCGGAAAAGATAATGCCAACTAAAACCCCTCACAGCATCTATAAGAAATAGACACAGCAACGGAGACATGCAAAACTGGACATATGCCCTAAACAAGACTAATATGCTCTTCCCAAACTACCCCATTAATTCTTTGACAATTTAACTCCTAAAAGTCCTATGGAACAAAGAAAACTAGAACATCCCTAATCCGATCTACATCAATGATCCCCTTCTGAAAAGAACATGCCCTCGAGTTAGAAAAAAACTTCACCATGCTTCCATTCTGCTTCATTTGAACCTCAGACTTGCTTTCGTGGTCAGTGATGTGATTCCACTACTCTGGTTGAATCCCTCTTAGATCTCTAGACTTCAATAATTGGTGTGTTATCATATATGCTGATATGCCCCCAAAAACAAGATTTTTAATTGAATGAACAGTCCTCTCGGTAAATGATCTTCTCCATTCCGACAAGGAACTTCATATATGGTAAGACTTCAAACTCCTAGTATCATACATTTGTATGTTCACCACAATAGCAAGGTTTGACAAATCTGCAATCCAGATCGGGAATCGCCAATCCATAATGGGAATCATTGAGGACTGTGCTGATGCCTAGTCATAATCGGCAATATAATATAATATATAGGCATTTTAAAAAAAAAATTTGAATGACTTTGGCTGTTTGACATTGCTTATATTTGGCTTTAAGGTTCGAGGTTTGAATATCCTCTATAAACCATTTCTTTTCTTTCTTTCTTTTTTTAACATAAGGAAAAAAAGGCACACTTCTCTGTTTGCTTTAATAGTTCAAAAAAGCATATGCATATACAGGGGCTCAAACCTTGGACCTTATGCAAAGGGCCAAAACGTCTAGCAGCTCTAGCCATGTAACCCACCCATGTTACGTTTTATAGATTTCATGCATTATATAATTTTTTTTTTTTCCTTCTTTTTTCAAATTTAACTAGTTCACTGATCTGGCTGATCTAAATCCCCAATCTGACAAAACCAAATAGTCGATCCAACTGATCCAAATAGCGACAGGAGGATGGACGATCCACCCCACTAATCCGTTTTTTAAAGGGACGGTTCATCAAAAATAGTTTTCCCCTCAAGTGATTCCTCAATTGCATTTTCTTTATCTGAGAGGGTAGTTTCCCATAGACAAGGGTTTCACCATGAATGTCGAGGATGAAATTAGTCATCCCACTGTGTGACATGTAAAAAGCAGCATCCACAGATTGTGAATGCAAAATTTTGTACCTTGATTTAATATAATATACAGTCACCACTTCTCAAGATAAAAAAAGAATAGTAATCCCAAATAATTGGGGTAAGGCTTGGATGATGATGAATCCCACTTTCCATCATTGTATAAACAGTCACCACTTTTGAAGAAAAGGAAAGAATAGCGATCCCAAATAATTGGGATAAGGCTTGGATGATGATGAATCCCACTTTCCATCTCATCCCTATGATCTTGAGCATGTTCTATGAATTGAATCGCCACCATATCTGAGTCTCTCTTTTGCCATCTCTGCTAGCAGAGCACAGTTATGGAAGTTGTTCACATTGGTTCCCTGGGAATCCCCTTTCAAGTCATATCCATCTTCATGATCTAACTCTGGTTGACACATCACATGTTGTGTCTACTATTCTAATCTTCCTCGATTTTTTGAATTTTTTCCTCCATCCTGAGATTCCTTCATGAGCTCTTCTCCTTTCTACCACCATGATTTCTCACTGATTTCTTGGCAATCGGGCTCTGCTCTCATACTAGATAGTGCAAACTAGGAAAAGAGAACATGGAGAACACAAGAAGAACAAACCCAATGGGCTATATCGTTAATTAAATTCAAAATTCACCACTACGTTTTCAGGCAACATAGAAGACTTCTTATAACCTAAATCTAGATGCTTTATAAGAACCCCCCATCAATTCCCCATACAATGGAAGACAAAAAGTCACTAACCACCTCAAAGAATCTACTAAAAATCATAGTTATTGCATGCAGCTGAACAAGGCCTTATACAGCCACATCAAAGCAGATGTGCCCTTGGCCACACTGTAAATACCCACACTAGCGGGCCACCATGTCGTTCCTGCATATGCAGAGAGCATCACCCACTTATGTGTGCCCACTTATGCAGGCATAACATCCAACATTATGCACCCGAGCGGAAAAACACCCATGAATAAGAGCATGTAGACATTCGGGGGAAAGGGTTTGGAGGTGTATATAGCCCCCCCAAAGCCCCCTTAGAACCATTTTTTCATGGTTCTAAGGGGTTCAAAGTGTAGCAATTACATGTCAAAAAATAATAATAATAATAAATCAAATTGAAAGATTCCAATAAAATTTGGGGATTCTTTGAGCAAAAGTTCAAGTTTAGGTTGCACATTATTTTGAAGGATTTCGGATGAACATTTACCAAGTAGTCTAGGGTTTAAGTGGCAAGGAGATTAAAACCAAGAAATCAAATTTCTTTTGACTTCATGTTAGATATCTGAAGCAGATACATATTCGTTTGTGTTTTATTTAATCTAATGAATATGATGGATTAATTTATTTTAACTGCATTAGACTATTAGAGATAGAGATAGCAATTGTCTATGTTACACTATCAGGCTATTAGTGACTCAACAAATGGATATATTACAGATAAAAACAAAATGAAAGTGCTAATTATTACATAAATCGCATATTCATGTTGGTCTTTGCATTTTTATATTTTTTTAAAATTTTATCAATTTTATTAATCGCAATGTAAGTGATGCACTCACATAGGGACTATATCAAGCTTCATTGCGCATGGAGTCCACTTCGAGCACTTGATAACCTTGCTAAAAGTTAGACACCACATAAGAAATATGTAAAATTAAACCCAAAAAATAGACTAATACGCTCTTCCTAAACTACCCCCACTAATCTTTTGACAAATTACCCTTAAAACTCCTAGGGAAATAAGAAAATCAACTGATTTACATAAAAAATGAATGCACATCTTTTGAAACATTATATCATGTAGCAAGAAACAAAAACATGCAGACAACAGTAAAAACAGCCTTCAAAACTTCAGCACACCACCCTCTTCCATGCCATGTATGCTTACGATCTTTCCCATCAGACTCATTCAAGAATGAAACTCTTGAATAGGAAAATTTTGATCAACCAACTACAGAAAGTATTTAATCTTGATGGTTCTCAACAATATATTTCCCATTGTTTCAACTGCTGAAATGCACTGATTCCTAAAACGCATTACTCAGAGTAACCAAAAAGAAGCATACATTTCAAAGATGGAGTCTTCTACTGATATCATTAAACGAAAAAGGAAAAATAGAAGATCATAGATATATTAAAGTGTTCATATAAAAATAATAACTTCATACAAAAAGAAAGATTAATAAAAGCATTACTGATTTTAAACATTTTTGTTGATGATGAACCAAAATTACCACATATGAACCGTATGATAAAGATATCCAAAAGACAAACATAACATTTATTTAGGGAAATTCATCAAAAAGCACCCAAGATATGAACTATTTAACACTTCCCCAATTTCTTTTGATTTAATTTAAAAATCCCATCAAAGGAAAATAATCATGAGTTAGACTCGCTGACAAGTTGGATGTGTTTTGATTAATTAGTGAATGTTAAATAGCTGATATTTTTTTTGAACAAAGGTTAACTTGTTAAATAGCTGATATTGTAGGAGTAGTTTTATACACTTCCTATTAAATTATTACCTGCTCAGAAGTAGCCATTGATCCATGGCACGTAACTAATAAAACTCTGTTTGGATCTCCTAGTAGGGGATGTGCCTTAAGTTGATCTCTCAAACAACTAATATCATCCCAACCAGTCATGAAAACTAACACAGCACCTGGTCTTTCTTTTCGACATATATGGCACAAAACAGCCTCAATGAGATTGAATCCTATACAATCAGAATTCCAACAAGCCAAAGAATCGCGTGCCCTTGAACTATAATTTTCAAAACGTTCCTTTGAAAGAGCATCCTGCATGGTAATAATAATACAACACATCAAGAATACTGAATTTTAAGTAATCCACGATGAGTAAAATTAACAGTGATTCACTTGGTTTTAATAAGATAAAGGCTGGTTAAGCCTAGCCAAATATGGTACCTCCACAAGAGCAGTAAGTTGATTTTTCCTCTTCCGAGACATTAGTTGTCTCTGTGTCTTCCACAACTTCTCTTGGCCATAGTCATCCACTTGATTAAATGATGTCAGTTTATACCCAGTGATCTCTAAAATATCTTCTAAGAAATGTACTCTTACAGGATAGGTAAATCCCTGCAGTCATAACAAAGAAAAAAATTGACAACCTAGTGATGATAAATGCAGAGCAAAATTATCTGTAAACAAATGAACAATATACCAAGACAAAGCCAAACACAGATAGTAATTTACTGGAATGTGGACAGTTGGAGCTCCACCAAAAAAGTTTGAGAACAACTCCGCATTCAAAGTGGCACTCATTAATATCAATCTCAGGTCTCGGCGGCGTGGAAGAATATCCTTTAAAACAATCAACAAGAAGTCTGTATCAATAGACAGAGGTCAGAATATAAATGGTAGTTCTTGGATAATTTCAGAAAGGCAAAAAACGCACAAAGAAAGTAATACTAGATCAAATCATTCATCACATTACCTTCGTTCATTCCTCGTTCATGGATTTCATCCACAAAAACATGTGTTATACCATTTAAATTGCGGTCCGAAAGCAACCTCCTCAATAAGATACCACTGGTACAAAAAAGCAGATGCGTGTTTTTCCCTTTCATTCCTTCTAACCGAACTTTGTAACCAACCTATAACAAAAGCTTATATTGTACGAAAGATAGAGGAAAGAAGTTCTCCAGAAACAAGTTGCTTATATAGAAGTTAGACAAAATTGAATGCTAATAGTGCTTACAGATTCTCCTAGTTGATCTCCTCTCTCCGTAGCAACTCTTTCTGCAACAGCCATGGCAGATATTCTTCGAGGTTGTGTACAAATGATGCTACAGAATGCCCCACGACCAGATTCTATCTCAGACTCTAAAATATATTGAGGAAGCTGAGTGGTTTTACCGCATCCAGTCTCACCAGAAATGACTGTGACCTAAGATACATGTACTTCAATAGTAAAGAATATGCAACCCATAATGCCGATGGTAATTAAAATCTTTACCTACTAGCAACACACAAAAGCCAATGGATTGAACACCAAACAAATTTGTAAAACAGCTAAAGGCCAACAGCCTCTAGGAATCATTTTACTACTGTAACTTTGAAAACGTTGCTTAGTTTACAAAGGGAGTTTTTTCTTTTGTAACATGGAAGTCCCACTATAAAAGATCAGTCAGGCAGCTAGAAGCCTCATAAAATTCATTCCAATTGCATGGATTCTGAAAGATCAAAATATTTCATCCAGGTCATGCTTCACGTTGATGATATCCCAACGAGGTAACAATAACGAACTAACTCATGAGATGATCACTCAGTCCCTTCATCAATAGCCCAATATCTGATATTCCAGAGGGTGCCAGATTGCTTTGTCAACTTTAATAAAAAAAAATTCCAATTGTCATATAATTCTTTATGGATACAAGCCATCTAGAAACAAAACAAACACATATTCGCGAGTTCCCTATTATCATTTGACAATTTTGATCACCACACTCAACCAGAGAAATCTAATCAGTAGAGAGTATCGGCAGCACAACAAACCTGATTTCGTGCTATCCCTGCAAGCAATCTCTCCTTTTCCTTGTAAGCAGGAAGAGATTTCCGGAAAGATAGCATCCTTTGGCCCTCAGGTGATTCCTGTCATATAATGTTTACACTAACTCAATAGAAGAAACAGAACACCTTTCAAAAAATAAAAAGAGGAAAGAAAATAATGAAACAGAAAGAAACATAACACAACCACCTTACCAATGCAAGAAGAATGAATTTGAAATATACTTCATTGGACCGTTATGAATTGAGTACATAGAAAAATCAACAGATACTTCTCATTTTAAAATACAAATGAATCATCAGCTTAGGATGATAAAAACCACACCTGCCAAGATCGCTGTAAATTGCGCATTCTCAAACTTTTTCGCTGTAGGACCTTTTCTATGATGGAACCATCGAGAAAAGGATCATGGCTTTGCTCAGGCGATGCATCTTCACTCAGATTATCTTGTGCTTTCTCGACTGCACCGTCACCGAGATTGTCAGAATTTAACTCCATCCTATCAAGATGTTCTTGGAGTAAACCCTCTACCCTCCTCTGCAAACTAAGGGGAATAACAACCTGAGAGAAAAACATGGAGATACTATCAACCCAGATAAAATTAACCATCCAATAAAAAGGTTACTATCAAACTAACCACATACATATATTTACCTCTCTTTGGGGTCTCTTGTCATCAAGGTCCGGCCTATAATTGGGCAAAGGAACCTTGCTTGCAACAATCACTTTCCCATATTGTTCACTACGGAAATGACAAATATTAACGAGTACATAAAGCCCAACATCAAACAAGCATCCAATTTAAATAAAATCAAATCAAGGGGAAGAAATGAGTCCACCTGTAAAGGCCCATCCTTTTGGCAAGGTTAGATATTTGCTCATAGTCTCGTCTGTCTCTTTTATCTCTAGAAATAATCTCCTGTTCTTCTTGATTACGCGAGAGTAAACTGAGTTTCCATTTCCACTCATCAATGTTTGCCACAGAGGAAGAAGCCTGCAATTCAATTAGTATCATGTGTAAAATTGAGTGCCTTTCTTAAGAAAGGAGCTTCCTAATCAAATAGACAGACAAAAGAATAATACTTGAAGAAGACAAGTGCAACAAAATTGGTTCTACAATTTCCCATGATCAGACTAAGATTCAATTAGTCATCTCCAAATTATAAGACCAAAAATAAACCAACTTGTACTCATGCATAAAAATTAAAAAATATACAAACCGAAAGGTGCACTGGAAACAAGGTACTTAACAATTTTCAACATCTGGGAAACAAAACTAGTGTCCCAGTCCTTGGAAATTACTACAGAATTGTATGCAATGAAGAGAAAAAAATTGCTAAAACATTCTCAATATACTATGGGGAACAAATCTCATCTAAGCAATTCCCATAACCGTAGCAAAGTGAGTGCAAAACCTTCCATTACGAGGACAATATTATCACCCCAAAACTTGCTTTTTTAGTAGAATTGAAGTGTATCAACAATCAGTATCACAATAAAGTAAACATTATGTTACACAGCAGTTTAAATTTTGCGTAAAAATCGCGAATGCCCACCATCATCTCTATGTTAAGAGATTAGCAAGTCACGAGAATAACAAATCCAACTTGCCAGTCACCAAAATGGGCAGATGTGATTATTAGAAAAAACAAAACTGATAACATATAAAACATTCATACTGTTACCACAAAATCCAAATAGAATAGTAATTCATCAAAAAAAAATCCAAATGGAATTGTAAATTTAACTGCAAATAATAAATATATTATTAATACTAGTTATACAGTTAGCATTGTATTCTTACAAAATTATCATCATAATGCAAGGAATTTAGTTCTATTTTCCATATGTTCGATATGACACTGAATTTGAACCATAAAACAAAACAAATTTTCAATGTGACTCCGATTTGAACTGTAAAACAGAACAAATAATGCAACGATTGTCAATGGATATAATAAAATTCACAGAACACCGAACAATCTCTCTCTCCCTCCCTCTGTCCGTCCCTCCCTCTGTCCGTCCCTCCCTCTCACCTTGTGATTTTCGAACTCGCACTCATACTCGTCATCAGAAAACTGCTCAAGAGCATAGTTACAGTACTGCTGACTTCCCGAAGCAATGAATCTCAATCCACTCTCGATCCTTTTCTCGCCACTTAAGTAAACATGCAGCCTAAAAGGTCCCAATTTTGTAAATTTCAGGATATGAGCTAAAGGGTACATTGTAAAGATGCTACTGCTTACATGGTTACAGATAATTAGATGGACTGGTTTCTGGTTTCAAAATTGAAGTTAGGGTGAGAGAGAAGGGAGATAGAGTGCTTTGAAACAGGGCACTGCAAATTTCTAGGGTTTAGCGAAACTGGGTTCAGAGTTGTGGTGGAGAATACTGAGGTGTTAGGGCTAAGAATCAAGGTGAGGCGAGAGAGAGGACGGATTTTCGTCATTTCGCACGCGAGCAGTGGGGGGAAGGGCAAGGGGACCATGACAGAGCTTTGCATTAAGAAACACATGTAACATGGAAACCATGAACAATATTTAAAGACTATATTTGGATAGGTAGCTATCGTGTATGAAACCTTACGATAACTTGAAAATCAATTTTCATCTCTACTTAATAAATTTTTAAAGTTAAACAAATTATACAATACATTTATTTTTAAAACTTTAAATTATTTTTTTTCGTCTAGATATATCTTAACGTTGAGATGATGAATTTGAGGATTTTCCGATGTTGAAACTCTTTTTTAGAGTATTTTTTTAGGTGTACATCACTTGGACAATATGAGGTTGGCACTTTCGTTTTTTCTTCATATTGATGCATCTTAAGGTCGAGATGATGAATTTAACAGTTTCTCAACATTGAAATGCTCTCTAAAGGATTTTTTTATGTGCACATTACTTTGACATAACGATGTTGACACCTTACTTTTTATTAAAATTCTCAAGATGTTTCTCTTTGGGGATTGCAATCTTGAATAAAATGGGGTATTTAATAAGTTAGTCCATTTAAGTTGCTTGAGCTAAATAATATAATGATATGGATCCCCTTGCTTCCTCCAAATTCTAAACTCTTCACTAGAAATTATTGTTTTGGGATTCCAAACCCATAATAGGGAAGGATATTTTTACAACAAATCAAATGAGTGAACTATGACAACTTGGTTTGAGTGCCAAACCCAAAATAAGTTATTTTTAATCTTGAAATGTCAATCAGAACAAGCCAGACATTTTGGTTATTTTGCACACTTAAGTCCAAAGCGAAATAACTATAATACCATTGCTTGAGTAGGCTTCCAAACCCAAATGAGAGCATTGTGAGATTTTCATGTAATACTTGAGGAAATACTTGAGTTAAATGATTTTCTAAAATAACCAATTCATTGAGAAATTTGTTTGTTCCGCAACCTCAATTATGTGTTGCAGTGGTTTGATTGTCTTGATTTTTTTTTTCCCATACAATATAAGCTAATATTATCTATGTCGTCACAATAACAACAACATCGTGGATTCTACCATCCAAGTCAAGCTTGGATGATGATAAATGTGATTGCGAACACAAAGTTTGATAAATGAGTTTGGTGGAACTCAACCATTCATCACCGTCCAACCCATTGATAAATGTTGATAACATTACGGTCCTTAAGCTATTGCAGCCATAGAAATCGCATTATTCAGGCCATTTTAATATCCAAATGAATCGTTATATACTATGTTGGATAAAATGGATTCATTTGGATATTAAAATGAAGAAGTTTCTATAAGGCATGGGCTTTATGAAAACAAAATAAAAGCTTAATCTCGAATCCCCATCTGGAGGGCACTTTTGGCAATAAGATATCTATGATGGATCTAAAATCAATTTCCAATACCAAAAGTAAACTTTGAAACTCAAAAAATGATACAGATCTCTTAAATCTACAAACACTTATTTTTAGGATGAAATTGATGGTCTAGATAATTTGTTACAGAATACACTATTTTTAGAGCATAAATTCCTAATTTTATTCACAACTATAATGTTCAAGCGAAAATGATCAATGTAAAGGTTTTCCGGTGCTTGAATTATAATTTTTTATGAGTTATGAGGTAAAGCTTTACTTATTTTGATAGGATTACAGCCGTAGCAAACCATTTTCCTATAATATATCCACCCTCCGTTGTACCATTAGCATCCACATGATGCGTAGTGTCGTTGATCCAGCTACATTTTGTGGCACAATGCTCTAGTTCTTCCGGGTTTGGTCAACTATAGCAGGTAGCCCAAGCCATTGCTAGCTGCCATATTTTGTAGCACAAGTCCTTGTATTTTAGAACCAACTCCTTTGAAGCTTATTTTTAAAGGTGTGGTTTGTATAAAGTTGCAACATTAAACAATCAAATTAAGGCACGCCTCCAAATTTTATCATAAATATAATTTTGGTGTCAAAAATTTTTAAGATGGCTTGAGAATCTATTTCGTCTCTAATTATAAAATCTTAAATTCCAATAATGATTAAAATCAAGTAGATCTATAAATACTTGAAAATAAACGGTTCAGTTAATGTGTTGCAAGATACATCATATTTAGAAATCGAAATCTTTTTTTCTTTTCATATTCATACATCTCAATGTCGAGAATGATCAATGAGAGGGCTTTCCAACCTGAAAACAACCATTCATGATGGATTTTTGAGGTGCACCTTGATTCTACATTTTAAGATTGTGACCGTATATGAACTTTTCCCTATTTCTAGAGGACAATGCACACCACTTTTCCATTTCCTGAAGTCACTTCATCTTCTACATATCACGTCAACCTCGACCAAAATAGAAAAAAAGAAAAAAAAAGAAGGCAAACATGGCACGCACTGCTTGAAGAATGTAGATTTACGGTGGAACATTTTAAACCACGGTTGTCGGCATGGGTCCTCAGATCTCATCTCATCACTTTCGACTTGAATCGGAGCCCACACAACCACGATTTGGATGGGTTCAATATAAGCCCTAGGTCATTCTCTCGACTCAATACCAGCGTTAAATGGTGCTCTCTCTCTCTCTCTCTCTCTCTCTCATGGTCACCAGTTCATTCTAGTAGCAAGTGGGATGTCCTATACGTTTATTTATATGCTGTCACAAGCTCAGTAAATACTTTTAAATATGATCTCTCTCTCTCTCTAAATACTTTCAAAATTGATCTTTCACGCTTTTTCCCCCCACATTGACTTACCAAAAAAAAAAAAAAACTCTCCTTCTTTCTCCTCCAAATACTATCGTAACGATCTCTCTCTCTCAGACGCGTACGACTCTTCCAATTTTCAATTGAATTTTCAGACCATCATGGCCCGGCCTGAGTATCGGACGCCATGGCGGTCCAGCAAATCCCTCAGGCCACTTTTTGTGGCCCCAGTTTTTCAAGGTCTAGCATCCTGGCCCATTGCCAGCCCCACCCACCAGCCCCCTGATATTTAGATGCATTTCAACTTTGCAATTTGTTAAAAAAAGTCAACATTAGTAACTTCTCCCACTTATCTCTAGTAATGTATGCAATGAACTGTGGCTACATGTTACCAATTATAGGAAATTTCATCAAAATATACTTAAAATATTAATTATTTAAAATTTGGAAAAGTATATAACGATATTATTTACCTTTAGTATAAGGTGATCACAATTAATCTTGTTCATTAGATGTGAAATTGGGTGGGTGCATTTATTTCATTGACTAAGCCCAAAGTTCAAACTAAATTTACTCAAACTTTGTGACACACCCAAGCTATCAGATTTCACATCGGATGGTTGTAAGTAATTATGGCATCCCTATATAGATGGTAAATGTTCTCAATGTATACAATCATTTAATATTTTACTTTATTCCAACTATACCAATTCGTCATCATGTTTTGATATGATTTTTAAAATCAAAGTATTGTATACTATTAAAATATTAAATAATTAATCTCTTTAAGTACATTTTGATAAATTTTCCATGCGATTATTATCAATACCCATTTGTAAAATACTTGGCTGTATTTTTATCCATGGAACATGGACTATCTCAGTAGGAGCATATTTTTCTACGCTCTTGATCCAGGGTCGACCCTCCACTGTTGATGAGCGGTGGAGATCGAGCCAAGGGGGTAGACACACCAAGTTTTTGTCTTCGCTTGTGATACACAAGTCTCCGTGTGCCATTTGCCATCACAAGTTAACAAATCATACAGCTCTCTCTTCAAGGGGCTTACATTCTTTTTTTCTTTCTTTTTTTAAATACACGTTGCTTCTACAATATGAGGTTGCAACTTTATATAAACTTTTTTCAATGTAGGAAGGTAAATCTTTTTATGCGGGCTAGCTTGCACAAAAACCATGCCCTTGTAGGCAAATAAATAATTAGATAATATACCAGTGTCACGACCCCACCCCCGACCATCATACTTTACGCGGCGACGGGCGATCGAGCATGGGTTCATGATTTAATGTAACATTTGGCACTCAGGTAGGGGTCACGAGTTTCGTGATAAGGATATTGTTTTGATGATGTGATGAATGGTCACTGCTTATATGGTTATTGACCACTACGAGGTGGGACACTCACCAGTAGTGGATAATGTTATGATGATGTGATGAATGGCCACTATTATATTGATATTGGCCACTACGTGGTGGGATACTCACCGGTAGTAGATGCTGCTATGATATTGCCTGCTATACGATGGGACACTCATTGGTTATAAAGAAAGAGATGCCGGCATATCCCTTAACTTGCAAAATGATAAGAACGGGTTAAGAGAGAGGATAAAAGGTCGCACCCTAGATTTATGAAATGATATGTGATTAATGCCTTGCAAGGTAAGGGCCTATCGAAACCCCAATGCGTGCTGGGGATTGTGTGAGTGTGTTGAGGATATTACGAAGTTGACACCCCACTTGTCATTGCCTTCCCTCCTATATTATGGTAGAGGTTTTAAACAATGGGATTGGCTTAGCCTAATGGATAGGGCCTCTTTTACGATAGCAGGTGATTCAGGGAGTGCGTGTGTAATAATTGAATTTTTTTATAAGGAATGTTTAGCATTATAATGATGGAATAATTTATGCTTTCATTAATTCAAAGCTCTAATCTCACCGATTTAGTAATGTCTGCCCTTTAAATGAAATGTTCATATTCGATGTCTTGACTTGGTATGCATTTATGCTAAATTATGACTTTATATTGATAAACTGTACTATTGTCACATATGGATAGCACCACTATATATGTACAACACTAGATCTGCTTACTGGGTTGTAAAGTTCATCTCATTATTTCTCCTTTATTTGTAGATGCCCCGAACTGAATGTAATATTTTGGAATATTTGTATATTATGAATTTTGGTGTGTAAAGTTTTTCCTTACTCTTCTACTAGTTAAGCTCGTCGCTTTAGCTCTCTTCCATGGTTTGCTTGATTTCCGAATATAACGGAGTTGAGTCCACCCCTACATGAGTGACAAACGTTACATTGAATCACGAGCCCGCGGTCGATCGCCCGTCGCCAT